TAACTCATCTAGCTAAGGAAGAGGAAATGTCATTAACCAGCATAATAAAAGTTGTCCCTTTAATGAACTTGCATGAACCCTGCCTGAGATAGTGGTATTGGATAATGGCTGTATTTGCTACCTTTCAGATTAACTTGCTCAAGAAATGCAGCTTAGTACTGAACTGTAACCTAAAAGGTCAGCGTGTCGAATGCCCTTTCCATAGATGAGCTATCACATTTGCGTTAGCAGAAGAGTTGCAGTGTCCTCTCCAGGATGCGTGTCACTGGTAGCTCACATGTCCTGTGCCCCCCTGTCCTGCCCGGGGAGCCTCACAGCTGGTGGCCCTCACTGCTGGAAGTTTTCTAGAGGCTGTATGTGCCGAAAGCTGTAAATATGGGAGGAAGGTGGTATGGTTTTGCTCTTTTTCTGTGGCTTGTAGTTAGAGCTCAAATTCCTGTCCTAAAGAAGGAGTGGTCAAACTAAGGGACAGTGTTTGATCCTTTTTGCCAGTTTGCCATCCAGGGATGCACGCAGGGTGTGGTAGCCTGGATGTATTTAGGGCGAGGGATTGGAGGTGACGAGACTGCTGTGATGAGAGCAGATTCAGCACCTCTCAGGTCAGAGGCATATTCTGCATGGGTGTTGAAATCTCCTAGGACAGTGAGTCTTGTGTGAACTCCATCATCACGTCAGACAGCATCTCTGTCATTTTGCCGGGAAACGCTTGTGTCTTTGCTCTAGCAGAATGCTCTGGTTATTCTTCCCTTTGCCCTTACTGATTAAACAGAGGGTCTCCAAGGATTTTACTTCAGCAGAGCTGAGCTTAAAATTTAACTTGCATATGCCAGGTATTTGCTGAAGATGGGAGGTTATCTCATGAGCTGCTAGTTTGACACCTTCTGTGATGGTGCATTCACATGACTACACACCTTTTTTCCTTTTTTTTCCCTTTTTTTCCTTTTTCTCTTAATATGGGGGGGGAAGTAAAGACTACAGGAAACATATCAACATTTCTGGCCCTCTTGATTCAAAAATTCTGGCCAGTGTTAAAAGAAATTATCAACAACAGAAAAGCATTAGAGGACAAGGCTATTTCATTGCTCAGTCACAGGCGCTTAAATCCTGGAAGCAGTCTTCGTTGAAGGACTGATTTTTCTTTTTTGTTTTTTTAAAACTCAAAACACAAGAATAACCTAACAACCATTTGCCTACATTTTTTTATAGTCACTGTTTTGTTATTTAGTCCTGTCCCTCCTTCCTTCTCTGCTGTCCACCTCTGTGTGAGTGCGAATAAGCCTACGTACAGCGGTGCTGGCAGTAGAAGTGGCAATTGGCCAATGTCAGTTGATTTGCGCATGAAAGACAAAGCCCGTTTGCTTGTTTATTTTCTGACACTGATGGAGTTTTGCATGTGGCTGGATTTAGAGCAAGAATCCAAAGGGGGTGGCCAGGATCCAGGCAGTGGCCACCAGTCACTCTGGGGGAGATGTTGACAAGTGGCCCAGACTTTGCAGCGTGTCCAAAACGAGGGGGAGAGTGTTCATTAAACAGAAGCTTAATCAAACAGGGCAGGAGGATGGTTTACATGAGAAAAGATATATTCTTTACTTAACATTCACAACTTGCTTGTGGATTAATTAGCCCATCTGCTACAACAAATGTATTCCCATGTCTTTGTGTTGACTGTTAAAAGTGACTGATTTCTCTATCCACTTAAAATAGTACCCTGGATTCCACTGAAAGTAACCTTTCTGAGGCAAGGAATTTATTTAATCATCCACTAAGAACCTGTAAGTGGCTTGCTGTAAATAAGTGCTCAGCTGTCTATGGCTCCCAGGGTAACTATATGTGAGCGTTAAGTTGGGGGATAACACAGGAGGCAGAAAACCCTTAAAGAAGCTACGTGAAGAGAGCTTCCAACCCCATCTGTAGTATTGGCTTTAGGTTTTAAAATAAATTCTCTCTTCCCAGCCCCAAGTGGGCAGGACAGCTGCCAGCACAGAGTAATTCAGCTATAGATTTTCTTCTGAGAAAGGCAGCATTCATAAATTAGGTGACCTTTATGCAGATCGACAAAGTGTGTTGATGAACTTCAAGTGACAATTTAAACAAGTATTGGGTATCCAAAGTGCTTGCATTTCATAAGAAACCAACATAAAGGATGGAATGTTTTTAAAGTCTTTAAATTAAATAGGCATTTAAATGAAAATAGAGGTCAGCCATAGGTTCCCAGGATAAATGAAAATGTGTATCCTTTGTGATTTTTCACACTCATGTGATTTTAAAATATTATTATTCTTTAGATATAAAATTTGCATGTAAATGGCATTGTTTTGAATTTATGTCTGTTTGCTCAGAATAAGTGATAACTATTGACTGATGTGAATAAACAGAGCTTCTGGTTTTCAAAAAAAATCTAATAATATATTTTGTATGCTATCCAAATATCTTTTTGCTTTGCTGATGCAGATCTTTGATAAAATGGTCAGCCTGTGCCAAAATCCATGTCATTCAGCCAGGATACAGAAGGATTGTGTGTTTTATACTTGAATAGGGGAAAAAATTGATACAGTGCTATGTGGTATTTATTCCCAATCATTTGCTTTTAGGAGAAACACCATATAGTTGTCTGAAACTTAAAAAGTTTTAAAAGGGTTTTGGGAGTCAGGAAAGTAATTTTTCTGTTCCTGGGGCCTTAGGAATGAGAGTTACTCAGAGGGCCTATAGCACACTCTTCCTACAAAAACTGCAGAAACTGTGGCAAATTGTGTCCTTGATAGGATCTGAGTTAGAAGCAAGAATGAAGCAGAGGCTGGAACTGAAGAGTGACTAGAAGACCCAGGCTTGAAGCTTTATCTCTAATTGCCTCTTAGACGGGGCTGAGTCTGAACACCCTGGCAGTATAACTTGTGCTATTGGAGACTATTTGCAGAAGCTCGCTCCTTGGAGAAATTTATTTTCTTATAACAGAATTTGTTCTTTGACCATTCTGGCCCTTCCTCTTATATACTACTGATATTTTCCCATGTAACTTAGATTAACATAACCCAAGGTTATAATTTGATGGATGATAATTTAAATGATAAAATCTTACTATTTTTGGCTTCAGTCATCAGAGAAACTATACATATGCATTAAATTTAGGTGACCAAGCTAGCTGCCATTCATATTACTTGATCACAGTCTAGGCTGCAGTGGTATGGTACTTCTGGGGATCCCGGGCTTTCAGCACAGGGAGTTTTGAGCTTTTTTGATATATAGAAATCTGTTCAGATAATTTCTAGCCTTCTCATCACCACATACAGCATCAGGCATATCTAGAAAGATCAACTGACCTTTGCATTGGTGGCTATGCTATGGTGTGGTTATTTCGCATGTCCTTATAAGTAATGTGGCCATGAAAGCACTGTTTCTTTGGAAGTTGTGTCAGAGGAAAGCTGGTTCTGCCTTGTGCTCAAGCACGTACTCTGGAAATGTACTGAGTTGATATATACATGTAATTAATGATCAACGGTATCATAGCCATCCACATAAGTAGACAGGACTATGGTTACGTATGTTGCCTCACATATGACATTTTTATTTGCAAATGCTTCTCCTGACAGGCTTAAAAATCTCACTGAAGGCTGCTGAATGGCTCTTTTGAGTTTGCTGGCATTGTTCTTGTTCATGTGTTTTTCCTTTTTGACAAGAAAGTTCCAAGAATTTCTTGAATGAGAGAGTAATGTGGCAAAGAAACTTTGAGTTCAACCAGTATTTGCAGGCTTTGGGGGAAAGTCAGTTATGGGGTCTGTCCCATTTCTGGGGAGGGTTTAGACTTAGTTCATTAAGCAGAAGTTTTACAACATCATTGTCTATACAACTAAGTTAATTTGGGCATGAACTTGCAGTAGAATCTTATTTCTGATTTTCTGCCAGCGTAGAGATCTTCCCAGGGTTATAAATTTTAATCAGATTTTGGTACCCTTTAGATATTCCCATTTCTTACTAGAAAACCCTACCTTTCTACCCCAGCACAGGATCATCTCTTCTCCATAGTATCTCACAACAGTTAGGTCCTGTGTAGCAGCCAACAGCAGTTCCACTGCTCTGGAAACCGCAGGATGATGTTTCCTCTGTAAGGATGTTGCACGGCCCATGTGTCCAAGGGCTTAGCTACTGACTGCTGTTGACAAATTAGCCTTCACATTTTGTAGTGGGCTGATGCTTGGGAATTTTGCCCCAAACACCTGAATTCATATGAATCACCCAGCCTTGCAGCTACCTTTTTTAATACCCTAAGGCCCCATCTAGACTGGGAGAAATTTGCTGCTTTGCCTGTAGCAGAGAGAAACCTTGCCACAGGCTTTTAGTTTTGCCAAGCTATGCTGCATTTGCAGCATAATTTACTCTGGTTTATTATTCGTCTGTTTGTGGCAAATTATTTCTTCAGTTTGTTTGATTTAGATTTCTCTTTCCTTAAAAGAGCAGCAGCTGACTGTGTTAGTCAAATGTTCCTATCTTTGGTCTTAATGATTGTATAATGGCCATAGCAGATAAGTGACAAAACATTGAAAATTGGCCTTGTTTCTTTTTAGACATCAGAGACATGTTTATTGACATCTGCATTAATAACAATGCTGTGCCAGAAATCCTTTAAAACAGTTGCATGCCACAGAAAATGCTGAAATTGAAAATTAAAGGCACCCCTCCTTTTTTATTTGTATTTTATGAGGTGAATAAAATAGCATGAGAGAAATAATTTTAAATGTCCTTTTGAAATACTGTAGTTTCTTTGCTGTCTTCAGATTCCATTGGGACAGTTATGGAAGAGTTCAAACCATTCCTAATTTCTAGCAAAGATTAAACAATTTATTTCTCCTTTCAGCTTTATCTTCCCTCTTGCATGGATGCCAAAATATGGTCCAGTCAATGTCAGCATGTGGCTTGGTGTACTACACAAATAATTCATCCCCCTATATTTTATACCCATATTTTTATGCTGCCTTTTCACTTGTGCGTAACCTTTGGTATATTTTCCTGTTTTTCTCTAGGTCAATGGGAAGGACCTCTCCAAGGCCACTCACGAAGAGGCAGTGGAAGCTTTTCGCAATGCCAAGGAGCCAATTGTAGTTCAGGTTTTACGACGAGCCCCAATTAGCAAAGCTCATGGTAGCTCTCAGGATGTTCGACTTGTGGATGCCAGCACTCAGACTGACATCACTTTCGAGCACATTATGGCTTTGGCCAAACTAAGGCCTTCCACACCACCAGTTCCTGATATCTGCCCTTTTCTACTTTCAGACAGGTATGGTTTATCTTCTCCTGCTGTTTACCTGTGGGATTGAGGCATTGCAGTGGTTGGCTTGTAGCCTTCTCTTGAAAAAGTCTCAGGAACACTTGAAATAAATTATAAATGTCGTTGATAACCACTGTCCCATTCAGGCTTCAGTGATGGTTTTCCTAAACTCTATTCATGGATTAGAGCTACAGGAAGGAATCTTGGCCATGCTTACTTTGTGCTCATGTGTTTGTTCATCCAAAGCTAAGCCCTAGTCAAGAAGAAAAACAATTCTGTGTTCCAAGTTACCAAAAAGGCTTCTTCAAACCTAGAAAGAGCTGTCTTGTTGCTTTCTGTTCTTCCAAATTTCTTACCAAAAAATCAAGGAAACAAAGTATTTTATTTAAAGGTCCTCTTATCAAAAGCAAAGCAATTCCAAAAATGTAGAGATAAAAAGTACAATCACTTGTCATATGGCAAATGGTATGAATTAAATTATGCCTCAGTTGAATTTTCTGAATTGAATGCAAACACCAGCAGCTGATGCTTATACAAAAATAGCGTGTAGGCTTCTTCCTTTTTGGACTCCACCTCAGGAGTAACATCATGTAGTGGTTGACGCTTGCCCTCTGTCTGTAGCCAGCAAAACTGTGATAGCCCTAGAGCTTTCCTACTGACTTGATGGAATGCCGTGCATCTCTACAGAATTGATGCTAATGGAGAACAAACCACTTTTGACTTTGATATAGCTCCATATTTAGAATCATAGAATCATAGAATTATTTAAGAAAAGACTTCTTAAGATCATCAAGTCCACCTGTTAACCTAACACTGCCAACTCCACCACTAAACTGTATCCCGAAGTGCCACACCTACACGTCCTTTAAATACCTCCCGGGATGGTGACTCAACCACTTCCCTGGGCAGTCTGCTCCAGTGCTTGACAATCCTTTCCGTGAAGAAATTTTTCGCAATACCCAATCTAATCCTCCCCTGGTGCAACTTGAGGCCATTTCCTCTCATCCTATCACTTGTTACTTGGGAAAAGAGACTGACACCCACCTCACTACAACCTCCTTTCAGGTAGTTGTAGAGAGCAATAAGGTCTCCCCTCAGTCTCCTTTTCTCCAGGCTAAACAGCCCCAGTTCCCTGAGCGGCTCCCCACAAGACCTGTGCTCTAGAAGTTCTAAGTAAGCTGGGTAGATGATTATCTCAGAGACAACTTGCCAGCCAAATGGCTGGATTGAGCCTACCACTTACTGCTGCACAGCTAGGAACATGATATGTGTGTATTTTTAAGTTGTTACTAGATATTACTAAACTGTGTGCTGCTGTGATTGAAGTTCACATGCTCTCAGCATGAGGAAAAATTTCCCGCCTCTGCTAAGATAGATCCACACTGAGTGCTGCGTGGTTGGGATCCAGCCTTGGGTCTAAGGCTGTACCTAAGTGCACATTGTAAAGGTCTCATTCTTTGTGCTCCAAGCCCATTTAACAGTGCAGTTTACTGACATTTTTAAGTGTGCAGTTGCTCAAATGCACTTCACCACCCTGTTATCACTTTAACAGAAGAGGATAATGCAAGTTGTTTTATGTGAGTTCTTGAACAATTTGTGAGCCTGGTGTGGGGTGTAGATTGTGGATGTTCAAGACTTTATAACCAGATAATTAGTGAGTTGCCCCTGGCCATGACGCAGCACATGAATCTGGATTTAGGTACCTTTATGACCATAAGGAATCCCAAATTGTCACAATTAAGTAGTTTGGCCCAAAACAGACCCTTTTAAGAAATTGCCCTGTGTAAATCTGACAAAAGATGAACCCAGCAAACTGTACTCAGACGGAGTATGAGCTTTTGAAAAGAAAACAGCCCATGCTACTTTTTGGTACGGTTCCTTTCAGGCTGTCAGGCCATTCAGAGTAACATTCCAGAGATGAGAAAAGTACAGAGAAGTGGGGGTTTTAATCACTTTTTAATGTAAAAAAAAAGCTATTGTCTCATCTACTGTTGTACTGCTTTGTTCCACATAGCTGCCATTCTCTTCACCCAGTGGAGCATGAATTTTATGAAGGTAATGAGTATCTTTCCAGCCTGCCTGCTGATGCAGATAGAGCAGAAGACTTTGAGTATGAGGTAAGATCACTGGCACACTGCAGCCTCTTTCTGTTATTACAGATATGGTATTTGCACAGCTGATAGCAGGCTCCTCTGAGAAAAATAAGAGTGGGAATACTTCTTAAAAAATTGGCACCAAAGACTGTTTTATATTATACCTGTGTAATGTCACAGGCTTTACTGGAGTTAGGCTACACACATGAAATATGAAAGCAGAATTCTGCAGTGGGTGGCTACATACAAGTCCAGGAGGCTTATGAAACATGTTCCCTCTTTGTGCACTGGACACTGTAACTCAGATGCTTTGCTTTTGCAGTTTTAACACTTTAAAACAAACTTTTCAAAAACTAAAAATGGTAACTGGAAGCTTAATTGCCTTTTTTCCCCCCTATTTTTAAGAATTACTTTGCCTTGTATCTCATGCCTTAGGGTTCAGTCTTCCACATACTTGGGTGTGTACTTGAGTGTTTGTAAGATCAGACTACAACTTTGAAAATGAATACAGTTTCTATTACTTGCTCTTTGATATTTGACATTGTAAGTATTGCAATTATAAGAAGTTGTGCTCTGTACCACAGATCTCCCTTTGCTGTTAATGCATTGTACTCTCCAGTGACAAAGGTGGATGTGTTTCCGAGTCACTGGAAAATCATTATGTGAGGCTTCCCAAAATGATAACGTGATTGGTGATGTTGCTCTTCATTAGATTTTCATTTCAATATATAAATAGTCTTCTTGTCAGCCACTCATTAGCTTTTCATGTTTTCCACTATCGTCCAGTAACAAAATATTTGTAGGGACAGGCGTAAGAAGCAGATGGTTCTTTTTATTATTAAACAGTGCTGAGTCTTTGCATAAGTTCGAGTTACTGTATTTTAAATAAGAGTGATTATAAATAATTAAATACCTTTAGCACAAGATTAAAAATATCCTATCCTCCTGTTTGCTCTACCTTAAGAAACCTTTTTAAAGGTTTCATATAACTGGTTGACATTTGGAAATGAAATGAATGGCAAAAGCTTTGGCAAATATGCAGTGTGTTCACTTTTATCCTGTCTTTAGCAGCTAAGATGCTCTATTGCAAGTTCAGCCCATTGTTCTTTTCCTCTAGCAGCCTGGGGAATCTGAAATTCTTCCCCCAGGAAACAGAAAAATCAAATAACATCTACTTAGTGAATCTCAATCAGAAAGAGCAAACTTTTATTTGAACTCCTCAAAAAATCATTGCTAGAGATTAGTGAAATCATTATTTCTTCCCAGTTGGGTTTTGGTGTGATATCTCACAGCACAAGAGTCTCACAGCTTAAGTTCTGTTTTGACTCCCCATGTGTAATATAATATTAAATTTTTCTGTCAAGTGTGTTTGTTTATGGTACTTCCTCCTTAAATGTAGTAGAAACTATTTTTCTAGGAATATTTAAATGAATTAGTAATGTAAGCATCTAGAAAGAATATTAAAAAAAATGGTTAGATAAAATAATTTTCACCATTTAATCAGAATATCAGTGACATATTAAAATGCTAACAGGTTTTAAGGAGTCTACCTGGTGGAATCAAGTTCTCTTTATGACCATTATTAATCCCTAATAATAGCTGGCATAAGTATTGTGACAACGGCAAATGCTTGGGCAGGTTCTCAGTTGCCTGTAATCTCTACTAATCACACCATCATAGTCATTAATTTGCTGTCAGCTGTGATTCAGTTGCCCAAGGCAAATTCACTGAGTGACTGAAATAAAGTGTTTCATGTGAAATTTAAATAGGGAAGGAACTGTCTAGCTTCCTTTGAGAAGAATGCTTTCTACTAGATATGAAAGTTTTGAAGAAGAAACGAGAACATCTCAGAGCCTTTAGCTAGCAGAGCTCTAAACATGAAAGGCATTCCCAAAATTTAAGCCCATATGGTAATATTATGATTTAGGTTACTCATTGGTTGTATTATCTGTTATTTTGGGTCCTCATAAGATTATTAGGCTCCCTTGCCTTAACTAGGTGGCTGGAAAAATTGAGAGCATTGTCCCCAGAGATATATATCTCCATCCAAAAAGAAGTATCATAAAGGACAGAGTCAAAAGGGATTTGCTAGCTGCTGTTGCCAATCCAGAGGAGAAGCAGCAGGACAGTGAGCAGAGCAGAGGCTATGGTCCAATCCTGTCAAGGTCTCTACAACAGGATTGGCTTAGGCGTACCCTGCTGTGGCCACTCGGACCCACCCTTGCCTTGATGTTTTCTGGCCCCTCAGTTATGCCAATGTTACTTTTTGTGAAACAGATGTGAGAAGTAATCCAATAATTTTTAAAAACAAATTTTTAGAAGGGCTGTTTTTAACCTAGCCCAGCTGCCTGATCTAATTTCCAGCATAGCTCCAGAAGTTGCTATGCTGGGGCAGCAGCATCAGGGAAGGAAAAAATTTTCAAGCACTTGGGAAGACAACAACTTATAAGATCAGCATTGTCCATCCACCATCTAAGGGTGAAAGCAGCAAGAAGAAAGGGTGCCGAAGCTCTGCTAATGCCACCCTGCAGCCTGCAGGCTGGGTGGAGAAAGCACAGAACATTCTCTGTCTCCCAACATTTGATTTCTCCTGTATTTAGGGGAAAGAGGTTTATTGTTATTACTGTGCTTTCTGTAGAAGAAGGGTTGTATCAGTTTTCCCTGATTTTATCTTTCTTTTTTTTCTTCATAACAACTTTCTGGTGTGAACCTTAGCTAATCGCACACAGCAAAAAACCTGTCGGGTGTCAGGAATATGGTCCAGTTTCCAAACTGGACATTAGCATTCCCGTTGTACTAAAAGGATACAGATAAGCGGCTCACAGGTCTCCATGGCAAGCTTAGTAATTTTTAAATGGATTCAAAACCAAACATGGAGATTTCAGAAAGGGATTGAAACAAGATAGTGAGCAGAAAAAGAACTAGAGCAGCACCTCATTATTTCCTAGAAACAGTTTGTAAGTGAAGAATGCATCAGTTCTGAGACACAAATTGAAAACACTCAGCCAGATTAGGAAGTAAGGAAATAAGATGACTAGCAACTGAGGTGCTGTAAACAAGAATGTTTTCCAAGAAGGTTTGGAAAAGCTTTGATCAGCTTGGAACTTGCTTACAGATATGTGCTGGTGTTTAAGTACCTGAGTTACCACCATAAGAAACAAACAGGAGGATCACATGTATGGCCAGCACTGGGGATATGGGCTTATAGTTGCCAGTGGATTTGGTAGGATTAGACACTTACAAGACTCTTCTACTCCATTTGTGAGCTAGAAAAACCCAGTGGATTGTGCTCAGATTGTCACAGCGTAATAAACGCAAGTATGAGCCAATTGTCTTGGAAGGATGAACTCCCTAGGAGGCTCATTAGGCTCCATAAAGTACCATACTTTAAACAAATGGCTGGGAAGATGACAAAGCTGCAGGATTGCAGATAGCCAACTTGAGCATCCTTATGTTGCTGCTGCAGAACTTGTCCTAAAAGGAATCCGAATTGTTGGTAGATATTGAGACAGGGGTCAGAGCCTGCATCAGTCAGCGTTGGCAGAAAGAGATCAAAAGATCTGCAATTCTGGCATAGCCATATACCCACGAGGACTTTTAACATAACACAGGAATTGACCAAATTGTAAATGCTCAGTTGGACTTGCAGTCAATATCGCTGAAAGAGAGCCAAAGATATTCAGGACAAACCCACCCGGTCTGGCTGTGAGTGACTGTTGTGCTGCTGGAATTACATCGTGTGATGTTAGAGTATACATCACACTCTCTGGTACCAATGAGTCGAAGAACTAAAAGCATCACAGCCTCCAGTAAATCTGTGTCAAACATGGCTCTAAAACTTGTCCTGGTAAGAAGAACAGAGGATACTGGTGCTAGAAAGCAGTACATAAGCTAATTGACGTGCACTTCTTTAATAACATTATCTGAACCTACTATCCAGGAGAGAGAAACATCATATACTTGGTTTGGAATGTTGGCAGTAACACAGAAATTAAGGGGACAAAGTCACTTACATGGTGGAACAGTGAAAAAGTAGGTAAAAAAAACCCCAAAGAATGTTGTAAAGACAAAGCGGGACAAAAAAAAGCATCACTGATGTATGGTCTTACATATTCAGTCTGAGGAGACTGCCTTTCAATAAGAGGGGCAGAAGAAAATAAGATGTTACAAGCAGGCACAAGCAGGTAGTGTCATTTAGTCAACAGATCCTTACCCAAGGGCAGAGACCTTTGTACTATCTATGTACTTAAGTAGCTTTTTAACAAAAGCAGAACAGGAAGTGATTGGTTTCTGCTGTGAGAGCCAGTATCTCTGGGAAATTACAGCTTTTAAAGTCTTGTATATCTGAGATAGGAAAAGATTCTTATTTCTAGCTGAATGCTTCTTACAAACAGCAGAAGTAGACATCCTTGAGAAGGAATAGCAGTGGGTTGAGGTAACTGTTGTTGCATATGTGAGGAAGAGTAGGCTGAAGTTTGCTCTCAGAACTGAGGTGGCTTTTTTGGAGGGAGGTTGGGTATTAGTTGACGTGGATGTGCGAAGGAGACCAGTATAATTGCCTAAAAGACTTTCTAGCTCTGGTTGTTCTCGTTTTTAGGCAAAGACGCAAATGATTGCTTCAGTAGAATGACATAGCTTGCAGGAGCCTGGAAAACCACATCAATGGTCCACCATGCCAGGATTAGCATTTTGAGAGTGAAAAAGGCAGAATGGCAGCCATTGTGTTAGCCCGCCTGTGTCTGATGGCTCCAGTTTTAATGCATGCAAATGCTAGTGCTGACAGATTAGGGCAGTATTAAGACCAGTACCTGGGAGAAGTTGCTAAGGGTTGCGTTGACCCTGTATGAAATTAGGAGATACTCTGGTGCTCTTCACTTAAGGTCTCAGAAACCATTGAGCTTCTTTATTTTCCTTTTTTGCTCAGGAAGTTAGTGCATGTCACTAGATCAACAGACAACCATGAGGCATGTGCAGGTGAAACCTTTTTGTGGTCAGTTTTTATGAAGCCTTTTCTGTCCAGACAA